CATCTTCTTTTTTTTTTTTTTTTTTTTCCTTTTCTTCATGGCTCACGTTATATCTAACTACCTCGATCGAAGAAACTAAAGAGTTCTCACGAGATTAATGCTGGCGTAACGATGTTCCAATGCATTCGGCCGAACAGATTCCTCATTTCGCAACATCAAACGATTGCTCAAAACATGCTCTAAATATCGAGCATCGGCGCAAGTAGCAAATTCACTACTAAATTATAAGAAATATTATGGTTACAAATGCAAATTATACAAATTCAATTATATAAATTTTTATCAACAGTGTTACATTATATCAATTATTTTTGTTATAACAATAATAAAATGAATATTTCAATTTTTTTATATGTCTGAATTAATGGATTTTATTTTACCTATTTTTTATTTCAACAAAGCTTTTTAAATTCAATTGTCTTGAAACATTCTTTCGAAACATTCTTAAATTATATAAAAAAAGATAATAAAATTCGCTTCGAGTATTTTAATTTAATAATAATTTAATAATTGAATGATTAATTATAAATTTTATAATAATAGAATTTAAAACTTACTATTTTATATTTTTTTTAAAAATTTATATTTTCTTTTGACTTCATTCATGATTTATTAAACTATTTTCAAATTTATCAATTTTATACAATAAATGTATGACTTTTCTAATATTCAATAATCCCACAGATCCAATAACATAAATACAACGCATTATTTTCAAGTTTTACAGTTTTTGAATCAATCACGATTGTTAAATGAAAATTTAGCAAGATTGCTGAAGGAATACACTATTCCTGAATTTCCATATACATGACATTATATTATCCTCACTGCCACTACTATATTAGGCAGAAGTACGTGAGTAGATTTTCACCAAAGATAACGTTGCATTATGTCACGTGACGTGTGTCTGTTTAATCTAGCAATGATAATGTAATGACACGTTATTCTTTTTACAGAAATTCGCTATAAAGGAATTGAATCATTTTTAATGAAAAGAGAAATAACGTATTGTTCTTGTTCGGTAATTTTGAGCATGTGACGTCATACTCTTATTTGAGAATAATAGAAAGAAAAAAAGTTAATTAGAAAGAATAAATATTCGATCATTATATTTACGTTTTTATAATTGACAGTGTTGTAAGAATATTATACGTAAGGTATATGATTTACGATGTGAAGGTAATAGTGACGATTATATAATCATTCTGTAATTAATTGTTGCTTGTCTATGATTATCTTAGCTTAATATATAATCGATCATTTTCAATTCTGAATTATTATTTAGTGATTTTGAAATTAATTTTAAGTAAATATTTAAATTGAAATTGAAATTAATTTGATTTTAAATGTAAAAATAGAAGAAAATGGGATATCAAAAAAAAAAACTTTTAATGCTTCTAAAAATTTTAAGTGAATCTTGGATTATTAGGAATTTTTTATTAAAAAAAAAATTTTTGGCTGTCAAAAAAATAAAATTTTCAAAAATTTCATTCAAATATCTTTTTTTTGTTTTATTTTTGAGATAAATAATTATAAAATGTCTATTTTTTCATTGAAATATTAATATATATATTGTAACTCATTTTAAGTAACATACAAAAAAATATATAAAATGATAATATTTATTATATTAATATTAAATCTTTTAAAATAGTTTTCTCTATTTGGAAATTAAATCAATTAGTAAAAAAATATTGTCAAATACAATTTCAAGATTTCAAAAACTTTAGAAGAATGTCACTGTGAAAGTAACAAGTCATGAAATAAACTTATTTGCAACCATAATAGCCCATACGTAGCCAATTAAATTCATTCTCAAGTACACTCAAATGTCACAGAGAAGCTGTTCCATTAGTTTCTTTACTTTCAAATGAAGGCATCAAAAATAAATTCAATAAGTTCAAATCAAACAATAAATTCTTATTGAAATAATTATATTGAATAATAATTATGTTAAATAATATTTTTTGAATAATTATTTATTTTAATATTTTCTATTTTATTACCTCTATTTATTCTCTATTATTATTTGAATTAATCAAATTTGATAAATAAATCATTTGACAATCACTCATTTTTCAAGTAAAATTTTCAAATTTACTTGCAATTTATTTTACATCCTCATTTCAAATAAAAATATATTTCTTACTATATTTCAAACAATTATCTCTTCCTCTCATCTCATCTATCCTCTATATTCAATAATCATTTTTTATCTCTCTTTTCTATTTTATGTCAATTAATTATCTCTTCTCAAATAAAATTTTACTATTCATTTGCAAACATCTTCATTCCTTATTTTATTCCTATTAATCATTTCTTTTTCTCATCTGTTATTTCCATTTCAAATAAAAAGAGAGCACAATCCTAATTGAAAGCATTACACATTCGCAACATTCTAATGTTTGGCATTGTTGCAGATATAGGCGGATCCCTTTTTCTACATTTCACGAACACGGGCTCCCATGAACCCGCCGCCAATGACCTATACCGCGGACGAGAGGGAAAATCTTCTCTAAGAGAAGGGATTCGCCATTCTCTCCTTTCGTAGTACATCTAGACACACTTATGACCCGGATAGTGAATATGGCAGTCGAATAACATCCTCGCTCTCATCCCAACTGAACATCTTCATTTCACTGTCGCGTGTACCACGACTCGCGATTCTTCGTTTAGAATTAAAAAAAAAAAAAAAAAAAAAAAAAAAATTCCTTCGAGTTTCTTCTTCGAAAAGAAGAAAATAAATATTTCATTCCATAAATGTAGAATATTATTCGTTTCGATTAATTTTCGAGTAAATTATTGTGGTCAAGGGAACAGAAAGAGTCAGTGGGTCACCTTGAGGAAACGCACTTCGTACATTTGAG